TCTCTCTCTCTCTCTCTCTCTCTCTCTCTCTCTCTCTCTCTCTCTCTCTCTCTGTGTGTGTGTGTGTGTGTGTGTGTGTGTGTGTGTGTGTGAACAAGACGTGTTGGGGACGTTGCTGGGGAGAACTGCTTTCTGCCTTCGGGCCAGAGTAGAGGCATGGCTATGACAAGACTGGACCTCAAGGGAAGTCCATAACATGCCTTCGTTCCACGAGGCATTAGAAGCTAGTTCAGAAAGCAAGTGGCAAACGGAAAGAGGACAACGACAAAAATCCAACAGAATGTGGACGACACTCTTTCCTTATACACAAGGATTACCTTACTTACCTTGCCTCCCAACCTTCACAGTTACCCAACAATGTCTCAAAAATATAATTCACAACATAGCAAAGCGGCCTCCAAAGCCATAAATGAAGGAACGCATTTAGTTATCGAGCAACGAGGTACCATGTTCATCATGTTTTCATGTGTTTTCATCGTGTTCGTCATGTTCATCATCTCCGTTGTCAAAAGCAACATAATTCCAATGAAATGCGCATGACATTCTCTCCTCGTACATTCCTTGCATGTAGATCATATATCTATATCATATATCTTCCACCTTACTTCACGCTGTCTCCCAACACTCAACACGTACCCGGCGAGGTCCAACACACAATGCACAACCTGGCGCTGTTATGATCCTGCCTCACTCATTCAAAGCCAAAACTCAATTTGGAGACAATGCAAGACTTGCTAAACTCGTAAAGAAGTGACAAGACGCAAAGAGCAGAATAGAATGAAGAAGGTTAGAAGTAGATGAAGAAATACACAAGTTTGAACCAATGTCGTATCCCTCTCTCCTCCACAACTCCGCCTTCTTCAACCTCCTCCTCCACTTCCAATAATCAATAACATAATAAATGAAGAATGAATGAATGAACAAGAACAATGTCCGAACAATTTCCTTTACTTTCAACCTCCTCCGCTTCCAATAATCAATAACATAATATATTAATATAATAATAAATGAAAAATGAATGAATGAACAATGTCTGAAGTTCTCCGAATAATTCCCCTTACTTTCAGCCTCAAAGAGCCTCCCTTTCAGCGGCTAAGTGGGTTCGCACATCTGAGGCCGAAGTCCTCCTCTGTGCAGCACGAATTTGAACCGGGGACCTCGGCCTCAAGATCCAAGTATCTCAACCACCACAGGACGGTGTTAAACCATACCAGCCCTGATTTCCACCCATTTTCATTCTTTTTTTTCTTCTTTTGTCTTTCTGGAATCTGACAACCTGGCCACGGGGCTGAGATGCCCTCACTGAGGGCACACTCACAGTACCACTTCTAAGAATGTATGCAACTGCAATGACGGCCAAAGATTATGTTTCTTTTTTTTTGTTTTCTTGTTTTGTAACTTTCACTGCCGCAACTTTTCTTCTTCTTCTTCTTCTTTTTTGTGCTTTCCGTGAGACCACCAGAAAGAAAATGGGTTGGGACCCAGGCTCGGCAAACTCGGAGCGCAGTGAAATTCAGGCTCGGCAAAAACAGGCTCAGAGGTACTAGTGGGTAAAAAAAAAAACCCAGCAAGAATAACAACAGGTCCTCATGATCCTGGTTCCATATCCATTCTGGGGAGCGTCAGTCCGGTTCCTATTCCCCTGGCAAGTCAGAATAACACTATTACATCATAGCACACACACACGCCCCCTTCCGTCTGGCCGAAGGGTCCCTGATCAGCATTGATTACCTGTGTTAAACTCCGGACCGTCCGGTGGCCTGGCCTTCGTCTGGCAGGGGTCCCGGGCGGCCCGGCCAGTTGGGTCCCCCGGTTTGGGGCCGGGCGAGCCCAGCACAATTTTGCGCGGGTGGGGCGGGGAGACCTTTTTTCGCACGGGTGGGGGGGGAAGGCCTTTTTCGGCTACTGGTCGCCTCCCCAGGCTCCAGCAACACCAGGCGGAGTGTTTTTTTTGAATCTGCGAGTACTTTGAAGGGGGGGGGGAAAGGTCTTCAAAGATCAGTGAATGACATCAGCCGCCAAGAAATCGATTCCCCCTCTGGCGGGCTACGACGTCGCGTTCGAATTCGAACGCGGTATTCCCTGTTGCGAAGCCCGTCGTCACTGCCGTCGTGAAGCCGCCCGTCGTCCCTGCCGTCGCGAACCCCGCTCGTCGTCGCTGCCGTCACGAAGCCCACCCGTGGTCGCTGCTGCTCCTCGTCGAGCTGCCCATCGTTGTCTCCGTCCAGCTGCCCCGTCGAGAAGCCCTCCCCGTCGTCGCTGTCCGTGAAGCTGCTTTTGCCATCGTAGCGAACCCTCCTCCACCTCTTTCCTTCCTCTTCTTCTTCTTCCTCTCCTCCTCCTCCTCCTTTCGTATTCTTCTTCTCCTCTCCTCCTCCTCCTCCTCCTCCTTTCGTATTCTTCTTCTCCTCTCCTCTTCCTCCTCCTCCTCCTCCTCCTCCTTCTTCTCTCCTCTTCTTCTTCTCTCCTCTTCCTCCTACTACTCCTTTCTACTCCTCCTCCTCCTCCTCCTTTCTCCTCCTCCTCCTCCTCCTTTCTTCTTCTCTCCTCTTCCTCCTCCTCCTTTCTACTCCTCCTCCTCCTCCTCCTCCTCCTCCTCCTCCTTCCTTCTCCTCCGCCTCCTCCTCCTCCTTTCTTCTCCTTCTCCTCCTCCTCGTCCCGATTTCATTGGACTTGTTCATTAGGCGAAGTGCCGTGTGGCCACATCAGTGCGCTGAAAAGCGCCACTTGTCGGGATAGGCGAGCTGCGGTGAAATCCCGCCGCTAGTTAACCTATTGACGGGCGGGATTCCTCTCTCTGTCGTTCCGATTCGTTAGGTGGTGAAGGCTCTCTCTCTCTCTCTCTCTCTCTCTCTCTCTCTCTCTCNTCTCTCTCTCTCTCTCTCTCTCTCTCTCTCTCTCTCTCTCTCTCTCTCTCTCTCTCTCTCTCTCTCTCTCTCTCCCCTCCCTCGTCGTCTATTTTTTTTTTTCGTCATCACCATACAAAACAGGCAGGTCCTCTTCCTCCTCCTCCTCCTCCTCCTTTCTTGTCCTTCTCTCCTCCTCCTCTTCCTCTCTTCTTCTTCTTCTCTCCTCCGCCTCATCCACCTAATTATTTTTCTCCTTCTCTCCTCCTCCTCCTCCTTGACCTCCTTCATCGTCGTCTTTTTTTTTTTCCGTCATGCACATACACTACCGGCAGGTCCTCGTCCTCCTCCTGCTCCTCCTACTCCTCCTGTCTTCTTCTTCTTCTCTCCTCCTCGTCCTCCTCCTTTCGTCTTGTCTTTCTTCCCCCCCCCTCCTCCTCCTCCTCCTCTCGTCTTCTTCTTCTTCTCTACTCCTCCTCCTCCACCTACTTATTTTTCTCCTTCTCTCCTCCTCCTCCTCCACCTACTTATTTTTCTCCTTCTCTCCTCCTCCTCCTCGACCTCCTTCATCGTTGTCTTTTTTTTCTGTCATACACATACACTACCAGTAGGTCCTCCACCTCCTGCTCCTCCTCCTCCTCCTCCTCCTTCCGTCTTCTCCTCCTTTCATCTGTTCACTTTTCAAGTCTCTATCTTCCTCCTCCTCCTTCCTCTCCTCCTTCCTCCCCTCTCCCCCCCCTTCCTCTCTTCTTCTTCGTCACCTCCTCTTCCTCCTCCTCCTCCTCCTCCTTTCGTCTGTTTCGTTTTTCAAGTCTCCTCTCCTCCTCCTCCTTCCCTCCTCTTCGTCTTCCTCCTCCTCCTCGTCGTCTTTTTCTACCCTCGTCCTCCTCCATATCTTACCGCCCAACATCTCGCATATCTGCCAGTCATATTGTACTGCCCGCCATATCGTACTGGGCGCTATCTCCGGTTCACTTTTTTTTCCCTGCCCATATTGTACCGGCAGACAGCAGCTTCTTCTTCTTCTCCCCTTCTTCTTCTTCTACTCCTTCTGCTTCTTCTTCTCCTTCTATTTCTCCTTCTTCTTCTTCTTCTTCTTCTTCGGATATTTTTACTCTTTTTTCCCTCGCTGTTGGTCCTTGCATCCTCTACTTACACGACACTATGGCGGGCGGTGGTAGCGGCGTCGGCGGGGGGAGTGGCGGGTCTGGAAGGACGAGAGGCAAAACGGCAGTAGACAAAGGACATGTTGCAAGCACCTCCACTACACCCTCATCAACAGTGACCTCTAAAGATCCCCCCCCTCCCCCCTCCCCTCAACCCCCCCCCCCCCCCCCCCCCAACACACGTCTTTCCCAAGTTTCTCTGCGGATTTGGGCTACTCTCAGCGAGCGCAGTCCGAACCCATCTTCAAAAAAAAAAAAAAAAAATCCTTGGACACTTTTTGGCTCGTCTAGTTTTGCCGGACGGAACCCCCCTGGTCCGTCTGGCCCGGTCTGTCTGGACCGGGCGTCGGCCTAACCCAGTTGATTAATCCATTTTACTGGAGGATTGACTGTCAGCTTGCCTTTCCCTGTAGTCCCTCTCAGGTTCCTCTGCGGAGGTCTGTCAGCTAAACATCAATGCAAGGAAAACAGAGATCAGCACATGACGTAGCGCTGAACCACCTCAGGTGGCTCTGAAGTGTTGCTGTTTAGACCAGGGAAAGCTTCTTGACCCCTGGGGGGGGGTAGAGTTGTGCCAGTCTTTGCATCTGATATGGAGTCCATGAATATCAGCTACCTTTCCTTGAACCAACCATACCCTCTTTGAACTCGGTTGTCAGGTCTTGCTGCTTCTCTGGATTCTGCTGAATTTGGAGCTTGACCTTCTTCCATTGACAAAGGATCTCCGATTCCACTAATAGTCT